GCCCGGGCAGTCGGGGTCCACGGTGTCCATCGGGGGGGAGCACACCAGGGACAGGGACCGGCCACTCTGTCCCCTCACCAAAGGTTTCTCCTTTGGTGGCCCCAGGGAGGCTCCGGGCTGGGGTCTGGGGGGGCTCTGCGGACCCACACCTGGGGGGGTAGCACAGCCCAGCGCCCCGAGGACACGAGTTGCAGGAGCGTCCCTTGGCCCTGGGGGTCCTGCAGACCCTTCCCCCCAGAGGGACAGTGCGGGGGATGGAGGGGGAGGGTCGGGAGGCCAGCGGGACCTGCCCTCCTGCGGCTGCGCTCGGAGGCGCCCGAGCCGGAGGGTTAATTCGTACACAGGCATCCCAGTTAAAATCAGAGAGAAATAAGGTGCTTGATTCAATCAATTCGTTTCTGTGCTCATCCGCCAAATTCCTGCCTGTGGGAGCGGATTTTAATTGTGTTTGGAGTAATTTGCACACAGCTGCAGCCCCCGGGCATTGCCCCTTCCTCTGCTCCTCATGCCCAGGGGTCGGCGGGTCTGGGGTCTCCTGAGACCCTCTGACTTCAGACATTGCTCCTGCCGTCAGGAATCCTGCGGAGCACGGGAATGGGGAGGGGGTATTGGTTGATTTTATGTCACAGCCACAGCCTCCTGAGCCCTTCACCAGAGGCTGAGGAGCAGCCGGCCTGGGCAGTGCTGGACCACCCTGCTCTTCCACAACCCCCCTGTTCCCCTGGGATTCCCTCTGCTCCCCAGCACAGAGCTGCTGGCACTGGGGTCCCGGCTGGATGGGGGTTCAGGAGCCCTGCTGGGAACCTGCCAGGGGACTGGGTTTGTTAAACCCCTTTTGCTGGGTATTTCCCTCAGCTCCCCTGCTAAGATGGATTAAAGGAAAGTGATAAGTATATGGGATTTCCATGCGTCCAGAGGGACAGGGAGATAGTAAAGGTATTAACTTTTCCGTCTGGGCTTATAATAATTTGTTTTCAGAGGGTATCAGGGCTCGGCGAGGAGCCCGGGGAGCTGCGCTGCTCCCACGGGGTGTGTGTCACTGAGGGACCCACAGGGTGGCTCTGAGCCGGCAGCACGAGGTGGCTGGTGCCAGCAGGAGGGCACAGGGCACCCAGCACA